AAAAAAAAAAAAAAAAAAAAAAAAAAAAAAAAAAAAAAAAAAAAAAAACATAAAAACAGAGCATTTTAAGGCTGAATCTGAATGGGCAAAATTGCATTTCTAGATCCTTTGCTCTTTCCAAACGAGAAGAAGGATCTTCGAATTCTGTTACTGCAACCTTCAATCTCATTCTCACCGCCGCCATTCTGCCGCACCACCGCCTGCACCACCACATACATCTTCCGGTTGCTGGAAGAATCCATGGAAAACGACCTTCTAATCGGCTGCATTAGAAACTCCTCATCTTTCTTCCTCATGTCAATACACTCATCTCCCATACTCGTAACCTTCGTAAGCTTGCTCCCTGATTTCGGCGCCTCCCTGAAGATCGACGAATGAGGGCGGCTGCGGTTGGGATTCCGAACAACCTCAATTACAGGGAATTCCTCATTGGCGGCGGCGATGGGGATGAAATTGGGGGTGGAATCTCGAGGGGAAGGGGGTTGATCTGCCGGAATCAGCCAATTTTTGGCGGAGATTGTGGCTCTGCAAAGTGGGCAGTTAGAATTGTTCTGAAACCAAATGTCGATGCAATCAACGTGAAAGAGATGGCTGCAGATCGGAATCTTTCTCAATTCCTCCTCCGGCTGAAATTCCATCAGGCAAACGGCGCATTCCCTGCCGGCGGTTGTTTCGTTGGTGGGTTTTTTGTAACGAATCAGTGGGATTGATTGGATGGTTAATGGGTCCAACCCACGCGGCTCCACCGGCTCCTGCAGTATTACGGTGTCTTCACGGCTGTCGGAGAGGGAAAACTGGTGGAGGATTTCAATTGGGTGCCAGTTGAAACAGCCTTTGATGGCGAAGATATAATAGCCGACGAGAAAAATTGCGGTGGCGCAGAATACGACGACGGCAACGGCGATGATCGGAAAACTGGAAACATAGGTGGAAGAATGAAGCGAACCAAACGACGGACCGATGAGGATTTCGGGCATTATCGGAAAATTTCGAGTTGCAGAGTGGAAGAGACGGGGAAGACGAGGATTGAAATTTTGAGGATTTTGATTTTTTTTTTTTAAAAAAGAAAAATTTGTTAAAAAGAACTAAACATTGCAACAAATCAACAATATTGAGTTTCTAATTAGAAAATCACCATACAAATCCAAAGTTAAGTTTTTAGTTATGATCCAATTAATCCTTTAATGTGATAACTAAAATGTGATATGATATCTTGTAATAACATGACATTAAAGAACGAATAATTATTATCTTCACGGCAATGTTTTGTAAGCATGTCTCTATTACTTATTAACTTTTAAACAAGTTCTCGAGGTTTTGTTTGTTTGCAACTAATTAAAATGTATTATGTGTGATCCAATATCGATTGGGGAGGAGAACGGAACATTTTTAATAAGGGTGTGAAAATTTATTCTTAGCAAAAGCGTTTTAAAAACTTTGAGGAGAATCCTGAAAGTCCAAAAAGGACAATATATGTTAGCGATGTGGTTGGGCTGTTTCAAATGGTATCAGAGTCAGACATGGGGCGATGTGCAAGCAAGGAGGCTGAACCCTAAAGGGGGGAGGAGGTGAACATGAAGCGGTGTGCCAATAAAGACGTTGGACATCGAAGAGAGGTGAATTGGGGGGTCCCACATCGATTGAGGAAGGAAACGAGTGATAGCAAGGACGCTGGGTCTTCAAAGGGTGGATTTTGAGATCTCACATCAATTGATGAGGAAAACGGAAAATTTTTTATAAGGGTGTAAAAATCTCTTCCTAACAGAGAGGACAATATCGATTAGGTGTGGGATTAGTTACAAATGACAATATCTATTAGCTATGGGCGATTTGTCCTTTCATGCCTGCCTATCGACCTTTTGTTGATTGTCTTCGGATTTGAACCTAAAGAGCCTCGTCTTTTGGCGTATTCAACCATTCCACCCTCAAAAATTTTTGTAGCATGTAAATTTCTTCCATGTATCCTCGATTTCGATTGGTTTCTCAGTGAATTAATACATCATTTTTTAAAATCAAAAGTATTAAATTGAAAAAAAACAAAAAACAAAAAGTGCAAGTTGGATTCCAACGTTAAAAATGCTGCCCTTCTAGAAATCCCACTTGAAGAATAATAGCTTTTGTTTTTATTGGTTCAATTACAAAAGAAAAAAAAAAAAAAGAAGAAAACAGCCTTTTATCTCCAAATTAATTTCAAAATAGTTTTATATATTTTGATTTTATTTTATAAAATAAACCCTTTCTAAATATTGATATTTTTTAAATAAAACTACTTAAAAATTATATCTAACCAAATATACGACAAAGTTTTAATAAAAATAAAATAAAATTAAGCTTCAACGAACTAAAAATGCAGATATAACCCAAGCCACATATCATTAAATCAAAAAATAATATAAAATTTTATCATTTTGTATGGACTTTTTGCTTCAATTCCATAATGTGCGTCCCGTAGACTTATGTAACACGTGAAGTCTCCGCTAAAAAGTATAATTTTTCTCCTTTTATCAACCTGTTAAATATGTTTTTAGAATATGTAAATCACTTTTAGTCTAAAGTTAAGGGTCCCTAAATTAGTGAACGGCAGACATAAATATCTCAAAAATATTGATTTTGATTTTGGTCAAACGTTTGAAATTTCTCCATACATGTTTCATTGTCTCAAACATTTTCCTTATTTTAAATGGGATTTTTTCTATTTCTCTTTTAATTTCACTCCCAAAATTACCTTTTATAAATAGTAATTTTTATATTCTTAAATTAAATAATAAACAATAAAATATCTCAGAAGCTTCTAATTGATTATATATATATAATAAATAAAGAACAAAAGAAAAACTCACGTGGTGACGTCAAGATTTTCTTTTGACTGATTTTAGTTCTATAAAAAGGTGATGATTTTGGTATCCTACTTGCCCATTAAACCATGCAAAATGGACGTGGAAGGGATGTCCGGCAATGATCAGGGTGGCGAGGTTCGATACCGTGGAGTGCGGCGGCGTCCATGGGGGAAGTTTGCTTCTGAGATTCGTGACTCGTCGAGACACGGGGCTCGGGTTTGGCTTGGAACTTTCAACACGGCGGAGGAGGCAGCTCGGGCCTATGACCGAGCTGCCTATGCCATGCGTGGTCATTTGGCTGTCTTGAATTTTCCTAATGAATATCCATCTCTCGGTGGCAGTTCTTCTTCCTCTTCTGGTCTAGCTCCGAGGCGCCATGGCCCGAGTGAGCACCAAGTGATTGAATTTGAATGTGTCGATGATAGGATACTGGAAGAGCTTCTTGAGTATGAGGAGAAAAGGAAGAAGATGTGAAATTAAAAAATATGGTAACCTTCTTTGGGATTTGTCTATCAATAATTTTGTGTTGTAATTTTCCCAAAAGTTGGTCTATATAATATTAAGGGTTAACCTTAATTAACTACTTTTGTTTTTTCTTAATCTTTTTTTTCTTCGCATTTTATGATAAAACTAATTGATTTTTACGTTTGAAATCGCTATGTTGCTGATTATAACAGCTAAAGCCCACCGCTAGCAAATAATGTTTCTTTTGATTTTTCTTCTCGAGTTTTCTCTCGTAATTTTTAAACCCTAGAAAATATTTCGTAAGTAAATTAAAAATAGATAAAAGAATATTGATATATTATATTTAATTATGAAAATAGTTTCTTTTAAAAATGGTTTTGACAGGGTTGAGTTTGACGAATTGTATAAAGGTAATAAAAGTTGAATTTAAAGAATTTTTGGTTTTCTATGCACATAAATCTGCATAAATTCAAAGACCTCCCAAAATTCTATCTTTTCAGATATTTTCAACTCGCTTTTCTAGAATCCACCTAACGATCCTTTCTAAATAAGTCAGACGGATTAATCCTATTTTCAAATTGATTGGTGCTATGAACATTTTTTATGACCGATTTGGAGTTTGATAACTATTTTTGTGGTGATTTTTTTTGTTGAAATTTGTGGGTCACTATTGATTTACAGTTTTTCGACTCATTTGGAGGTTGATTGGTTTGGTTCTTGAGGTCCAATTCAACCTAGGCATTTGTAGCCTTAGTCTAGCCAGATGCTCGTCGGTTCATGTTCGTCCACATTCATTGCACACGTTCCACTCTCTAGCCACCATTCAACTCTGGTTCACATCCCGCTCAATGCTTTAGCTCTAATTCCATCAATTTTTAGCTGGTTCTAGTCTTTTCAGCGAGTTCAGAACAGTTCATTGTATTTTGAAACAAACTTTATGATCGATTTTTCATATACCTTGAGGGTTGTTAGTATGGATTCTATTAGGGTTGAACTTAAAAGACAATCGATGTATAGGAGTATTGTACGTATTTAACTAATCGATGCTAAGTGGACTTACAGTTGGAATGCCTAAGAGCTAAGTTGGATGAAGTTTTTGATGCCTAAATAATACGTACCTTCTAGACTAAGATTACATGTTCTTGAATTCAATATTATGTATGATTTTATATGATATATGTTCACTCACATGGTGACTTTGTATAAATATAATATGCGAGTATTAATAGTTATTATAAGTACTTTAAAGTAGGATTATTTTCTACTAAAAATAGGGTCATTAGAAAGGACAAATTAATGAGTTCATAAAATATATATATATATTTGTCTTTACATTTACTATTCGGTAAGAGTTCAAGCAAATTTAGTCATTTAGAACTTTTCCTTCAAAGATTCCTTTCAAGAATTTAAACGTGCTGCTAAAGAAAGATTTCAATACTATTATAAAAAATGTTTCGTTTCTCCCTACAACCGAGACATTGGATGTCACACCTCTCCTCATGTTAATTAGTTATGTTTTTTTTTTGAGACCAAATTTTGGGTCATTGTGGAAAATCTAATTGGCCCATTACTATTGAAACTAGACTTGATTATAATTAACCAATATATTAGTATTTAATAGATGTGATTATAATTAATCTAAAGAAGTTCACGATTCTTTAACTAATTTTTAAATTTTTTCATTTTATCCATTTTTTTTTCTTTTTTCATTATTATTAATTAGAATTTATTAAACACATACTTACTTCGTATTACAACTATTTTCTAAAAGAACATGCCGTCATTAATCCTAAATAAAATTAAAATATTGTCGAGTAATTAAATAAAAATGTAGCTAAAATTTTTTAAAAAATATATTCCTCGAACTAAATATAAAAATTATAATAATTTTTGTAATAAAGACAAAAATTATAATAGAGAAAAATAATTATAATAAAAATCCACATTGTATATTAATTGACATGAAATATATATATATATATATAATGAATTATTTTAATTTTGGTCACATTATGTGATACACTTCGCCTACTTGTCCCTAAAGTCTACACCCTAATCTATATGCTACCTTCCTAAAATAGTATTAATCGCATTTTCCTTATTATTATTATTAATTTCATTTTTTTACCCAAACACGTGAAATGAATAATTCATTCATTATAATTTAAAATCGTTGTTATTAGCGAAAGAATAATAATTTCTTTTAGCACTTTTAAATATAGTACTCATATTTAAATTCAAGATTTAATGGCTTCAACATGACTTTGTTTACTACTTGTCTTGAATTGCTTCTAAGAGTGAAGACTATTCTTATCCTCGTGAGTTTATTTTAAAATTTTTGTAAGTATTTATATTTGTTTTTAATAAATCAAAACCATATGATATTAATTAAATGGAATTAGACGTAACCCCATCGTACTTTCTTTTCACAAGAAATTAAATTATATTATCCATTTCGGTGGCTGAACCTTATGTCAAATCTTGGGTCAAGCTCCTTTTGAAATTGAAAGTCTAAGCCTACTCGAAAACTTAAGGCTATGTCTAGATTATAATAAAATATTAGAGTTCTTATAGCTTCGTCGAATTTAATTTTAAAATATTATAGATTTTATCTTTGTAGTTTTATAATTAAGAAACATTTCGAATATAATTAAGAAGATTTAGACATTAATTCGAGCATAATTTAGTTGATAAAATATAAATTATCATTCTAAAATCTCAGCAGTTCATTCGGTCACTTAATATTAGTCGGTGACGGTAGTAAAAATGATAATATTTATTTAAGTTTATGATTTAAATTGATAAAGTTTTAAAAAATTATTGTAAAAAATTGGAACATTTTTCTAAAGAAAAAATAGAACCGACATGTTATCCAATAAATTAAAATTGTCAATAATCAAAAGCTGACTAGTAGAGTGAGAATTGGCGGTTGGATTTTTTATTTATTTATTATTTATTTGAAAAATATTTGAATGGCCATAAAAGCACAATTATTAAATGCAATCCCTCATCTTTAAATATTAAAAAATATTACTATTTTATTTTTCGGGAGAGAATTTTCTGTTTAAACAAACAGATAATGTGACATCCAATAAGAGAATGCGAGATCTCTATCAATTGGAGAGAGGAACAAATGTTAGCTAGATACTGGATTTAGACTTCGGTAGGTGAATTGTAAGATCCTACATTAGTTGGAGAGAAAAACAAAACATTTTTTATTATTAAGTATGTAAACCTCTCTATAGCAGACGCATTCTAAAGTAATTCATGTTGCGGAGCTATCGTTTCTCGGAACTCCAAAAATCAAAAATATAAATTTAAAAGAATAGACGGATCTCTAATAATTTTAATGGGTAAGGAGTATTATTATAAAAATACCAATTATATTTTCACTATCAAAATCTTTAATCATGATACAAATAAATTATTATTTTAAAACATATTTAGCCTAATATTTGATTAGATGGCTTCCAATTTTATCAATTATGGATAATACTTAGAGTATTTTAACCATCCACCTTTTTGAATTTAAATTGACCAAGTTGAATTCGTTTTTTTTTTTTATAATTAAATTAAAATGGACATTCACCTCACGACACGACCAAAAATCAACTCACATCATAATATATTTCTATTATGATGTAAAAAATTATGATGAAAAGGTTGAACATTCACCTCAACATGTGGAACCTAAATAATTCCAGTCAAAACATTCCATTTTTTTTTATGTTCTGAGGGATTTTACTCTAATTGATGGGTATTGATACCTAATCTGAAGAACCGAACTTTACCCATCAAAGTGCCTCATGTCATGAAACTAATTAGATTATTGATGCTAACAAGAGTGTCAGCCAAGTTTGTTGGCATATAATGTCTTAACACACAAAGAGATACTTTAAGCCCTGACTCACTGTCCGTGGACGAACCTTGCAGAGAGATTATGATTTTTTAGTGGAAGTTTGAGTTCGTTAAGGGATTATAGTAAAAAAAAGGTTCAGGTCAGGTTGATAAATGAGGTAAATAGGTTCTGATAAGATAAGGAATCACTACAAGGAGAGTAAGATTCGGATTACCTTGTTGATCGAATATCTCAAGGCAAGAGCATTGTCTGTGAGATTCGAATCACTCCACGAGCAAGATCGATCATGTCTAATTTGAATGATTCTTGTTGATCAAATATCTCAAGGCAAGAACACTTGCTTCAGATTCAAATCACTCCACAAGTAAGATTGATCATGTCGAGCTTGAATGATTCTATATGCAACCTAAACTACATAGAATTGCAAAGAAACTTAACCGTTGGCTAAAGAAGAGCACAAATGCTCTTTTACTATATTTTCAAGTCTACTTACAAATGCAACATACATGGCTGTATATAAAACTACTAAAGACATTCATACTTAATGGCCTTAATTAACCATTATGTTATTTGTAACTTAAAGTATATTAAAAGTCTTAAAATACATTAATGAAGTATATTAACTCTAAATTACTCTAAAGTGTAATCCACCCAAAATTCAAAACATGAAACTTCATTCTTCTTCAATGTGGCATGAATTGAAATATCTTTTGATAATTTCAACAATATTTTCTTCTCATATTCATTGAAGCATATTGTATGATTGATGTCTCTTGGTTCATATCCGATTCAGGTTTCATTGCAGGTAAATTATAAAGAAAGAAGATGGGTTCCTTCCCAAAATCAGTCGACTATCCAATTTTCATCCTGGGTTGATAAATGTTCTTATCACTACGATAGATGAAATACACAAACATAGGAAAAAAAAAAACAAGAAATAACATGAAAAATGATGTAATTAATCATATAAGTTAGAGAAAAATAGATGGAGTGATAAAAATGAAGAAAAATAATAAAATGCTCTCTTGTTGGTGAAGTTTCATTGTCTAAGATACGAAAGATTTTTAAAATTGACATATAGAAAGAGAAATGTTCCCATTTTGAATACTCATTTTCAATCATATCCTTTAAGTTGTGTAGCAAATTTGGAGAATTTATGGACTCATTTCACATGAATCTACATCCTACACTTCCCTAAAAAAGTAGGATAAGAGTCGTGATAGGATGTGCATTTGGTAATCATTTCTATCTATAGTTTTTTTCTTCAAATTTTCATTTATTCAGAGCGTTCATATGACTCGATAATCTAATCAATTTAGATTATCTAACTCAAATCATAAAAGTTATGTCGGGTTAGAATTTTTTTTTTTTTTTTTTCATTTGGGTTTGGTTGAATATTTAAAAAACTGAAAAAGAATTCGGTTTAGTTTGATGGTTAACATTTTTTTTTGGTCAGAGTCCATTCAACAACAAAAAAAAAAAAAAAAAAA